AGGACCTGAGCCGAAGGCAGACGCTTAATGACTGAGCCATCCAGGCACCCCTGAATTATATACTTCATTATTTTTTTTAAAGATTTTATTTATTCATTTGAGAGAGAAAGAATGAGAGAGAGAGCACATGAGAGGGGGGAGGGTCAGAAGGAGAAGCAACTGAGCCACCCAGGCGCCTGAATTACGTACTTTAAATGGGTGAATTTTATGGTATGTGAATTATATCCCAATAAAGATTAAAAAAAAAAAAAAAGATGAGGTAGGGGTACCTGGGTGGCTCAGTTGATTAAGCACTGACTTCGGCTCAGGTCATGATGCTGGGGTCCTGGGATCGAGCCCCACATCAGGTTCTCTGCTTGGTAGGAAGCCTGCTTCTTTCTCTCCCTCTGCCTGCTACTCCTGCTGCTTGTGTTCTCCTTCTCTGTCAAATAAACAGATAAAATCTTAAAAAAAAAAAAAAAGATGAGGTAGAGGGGCACCTGGGTGGCTCAGTCTGTTAAGCCTCTAACTCTTGATTTTGGCTCAGGTCATGATCTCAGGGTCATGAAATCGAGGCCCATGTGAGGCTCCATGCTCAGTGGGGAGTCTGCTTGAGATTCTCTCTCCCTCTCCCTCTGCCCCTCCCCTGCTCGCTTGTGCTCTTTCTCTAAAATAAATAAATAAATCTTAAAAAAAAAAAGATGAGGTAGGAAAATTGATTCTTGTTTATATAAGTACTCCATTCTAAGGAATCTGAATCATAAAAACAAATTAGAAATAATAACCTGGACAAGAATTGGACTTGCCACAGGGTCCTGTAAAATGTTAATACTAACATTTTTAGACAATTTCGCATTTTGAAAGAATAATATAACAGTATCATATTATTTTTAATAATACCTATTTGTGCACTTTTAGGTTCTTATATCTTGCATGCATGTTTGAATATATTTGTACGTAGGTAAATAACCTCGTTGCTGGATGACCCCTAGCTTTTTCCCACCCCATTGGCCAAGTTAGCTGTGTAGCTACAGCTGCTGATAACAAAGCCTGGGTTCCTATTTCGGGGCCAGCTTCTCAACTGTACAGCAGGTGACCAAGAATTTGGTTCAGAGAAGCCTCATCAATGATTTTCAAAGTTTGGTCAGTGGCAGATGGAATACTTGGAACCTTGATTCTGAGCATCCAGTGATAGGCCCGGGAATTGCTATTTCAACAAGTCCCTCAAGGAGTGTGATCTGCACTCAATTTTGAGAGCCCCAGCTGTGGGCACCTATTCCTGATTGCTGTGGAGAAGCTGTGACTGTTCACATTCTCCTTGCTTGCCAGGGTGAGAGTGGCATGCCTCCTTATTGTTAACCATAATGGGACTTCAGTGAGCCTGGTGCTGGGTCTGCAGGCACAGTCTTCTCATTATACTGCCTGGTATTTCCATTTTGGATGGGGTTTCTGTCTGCTGGGGTCCTGACATCCCATCATAGGCTGCAGAAGCAGCAGACAGCACAGTTGGCTCTGTCCCTGGATCCTATTCACAATATACTACGCTGGAGACCAGGATCATGAACTCTAGGGCAGGCTCTATACCTCTCCCCACAAGTGATGAGGGATGAAGGGGCATCATCTTAGGTCAATAACCTCTCAAGGCTGATGGGGGCTCAAGTGATTTCCCAAGTACTATACTTGAATGCTTCCAGGGATGGGAAATTCACCACTTACAAGTAAGCTCTTCTCTCTGTGGATCTGCTCCCTGTCCCTTGAATGGACAGCAGAGTTATGCCAGTCTCACTTGCTCATCTCATGTGGACACATGTATTCTGGCTCCTTCCAACATCTTTTGGAAACAGGGGTGTCTCTGCTCTGGTTAAAAACCTTCAGACACTCCCATTCTTCTTAGGATCTAGACCACAGTCCCTACCATGGCCTACTATTCTTGCTGATCTTTGCAGCCTCATCTCCTCCGCTCTAGGACCCTGTCCCACAGATCTTGGTGTTCTCTTACCAGGCCAGGCTGTGTCTTGCCATGGCCTATGTCTCTTTAAGTGGTTAACTCCTATTCATCCCTTGGCTCTCCAGCATCATTTCCCTGATCTCCAAGTCTGGATCAGGTCCCTTGCTTGTTCATGCTCCTAACACTCTGGGCCTCTCATTAACATCTGCCAACGCTGAAATTTTTCACTCAAGCAATTCTTTCACCAATGTTTGCCTCCCCCAGTAGACGGCAAAGTTCATTAGTCCAGGGATCTGAGTTTGCTCTCTTGCATCCCCAGCATCTAGCAAAAAGCCTGGCAGGTATTTAATTGGACGGATGGCTAGCTCCAGGAAGGCGGGCCACAACTGGGAATTAATCAAAGACAGACCAGGAGCAGCTACACATATAAAGCCCTCAGAACTGAGGGCATCCGTGTGCGGCCAGGGGCCCGGGGAGCCCCCAGGGCAAGGACACAGCATAGCTCTGGCTGGCACCCAGCTGCCGAATGGGAGAGGGGCACTCCGTCTTTGTGCTTGGGGGCCTCAGTTTCCCTACCGGTTCCCCGCGGGGTCGACTGAGAATGGCCTCAGCGGCCCCCGCGTAGACGCACGCCAGGCGTAGCAGGCTGTGGAGGTCTGAGGGGCCCGAGCCGGTGAGGCCGCCGCTCCCGGCGAGGGCGCTCCAGGTCGGTCCTCCCGAGCAGTCGCGCGCCGCAGGGGGCCCTCTAGCCGCCAGGACGTGGCGCGGTGCGAGTCGGGAAGGCGGCGGGCGGGTGCGGCCTTCGGCGGCGGAGGGCGCCATGGTGGGTGGCGAGGCGGCCGCCGCGGTGGAGGAGCTAGTTTCGGGGGTGCGGCAGGCGGCCGACTTCGCGGAGCAGTTCCGCTCCTACTCGGAGAGCGAGAAGCAATGGAAGGCTCGCATGGAATTCATTCTGCGCCACTTGCCCGACTACCGCGACCCGCCCGATGGCGGTGGCCGCCTGGACCAGCTGCTGTCCCTCTCCATGGTGTGGGCCAACCACCTCTTCCTGGGTTGCAGGTGCGGACCCCTGCGGGCTGGCTGACCCTGTCCCCTACCTTCAGACCCGCAGCCCTCCCCTAGGGCCGACCCCTGCCCAGTGCTGACCCCGCCCCCAACCTCCCGCCGCACTGGCCCGGCCTATGGCTGATTCCCACGCTAGCCAGCTGCTTGGAAAGACATTTAACCTCTCAGAGCCTCAATTTCCTCATTTGGAAAATGAGTTGTGAAGACTACAATATTAAAGAGCAAAAAAAAAAAAAAAAAAAAATGCACCTAGCACAGGCTATTTAGCAAGAGCTCAATCTATGGTGGGCGCTAAAATGCCATTGTCATCTGTATTAATACTATTAGTTTAAACCATCGCCTTTGCGGAGTACATTGTAAGTGTCTTGGCTCCTTCCACCCACATGGCAAACGTGCAGACACAGAAACTGAGATCCCCATTTTACATATGAAGGAGCTGAGAGAGGGCCATATGTCTTCTGGCAGGATTGTGGATTTTACCATTTATGGCAGGATGTGATCTGTGGCCTTTGGCTTTTTCTCCCCACTCCCCAGTCTGCTGGACTCTTTTGCCTCTCTGCCTTTCCTGTTAGGAAAATAACAGACGACTTCAAGGGGCTGTTGTTGAAGTGCTGGATAAGGCACCCCTTGTACGCCCTCAGTGAAGAAGGTGTCAAATCTTGAAGTTCCCACATCCTTTTATTTTAGTGTCTTGAAATTGTGCTAGGATAGTAAGATGACTTGTCTTAGTCCTGGTTTCTGTGCCCGTTTTGGCTCTCTGACTCTAGTCATATGCTTCCGCCAGCCTTTAGCCACTTGGTTTGTTGGGGTTGTTAGAGCAGGATTTGGAGGAGCAGTGCCAAAGGCTTTTCCTCTGTTTTCTGGGTGCCCCTGAGAAATCCTGGTTAATGGGCTCCAAGACTAGGAAAATGTCAGAAAATTGGAAAAATGAACAAATGATGTTATTTACATTAGACCAACATTCCGTGTGTTTAAAAAATAAAACATTTTGGTCCTCATACTGTATCCATGAATATGTACTGCCAGATGTACATTGCCTCTATTTTTGTAAATTTTTTTTGTTTTGTAAATCTTGAAACGCCTGCTCTATTTGCATTCCTACAGTGGCTTCTGAATCCACAAGCCAGAAGAACGTTTCCTAACCTGCCGCTGAGCATGTGTCCATTTCCCCTGTAGTATCACATCAGAATGCTGAGTTGGGCTACTTGCAATTTCTCATTAACCCATAGTGACAAGTAATTTCTCCACGGTTTTTATCTTACTACTTTTTATTGTGCAGTTACAACAAAGACCTTTTAGACAAAGTGATGGAAATGGCTGATGGGATTGAAGTGGAAGACCTGCCACAGTTTACTACCAGGAGTGAATTAATGAAAAAGGTAAACAGGGTTTCTAAGTGCATTTGAAATGGTATAGCATTAATGGCCCCTGCTTTTATGTTGATGTGTTAGAGTATATTGTTTACTCCCCAAGGATCTAAGCCCTTTGATTAAAAAAAATTTTTTTTTAAGTTTTTTTTTTTAAATTTATTTATTTGATAGAGCGAGCAAGAGAGGGAACACAAGCAGGGGGAGTGGGAGGGGGGAAAGCAGGCTCCCTGCAGGCTCCCTGCCGAGCAGGGAACCTGTCTCGGGACTCGATCCCAGGATCCTGGGACCATGACCCGAGCCGAAGGCAGACGCCCAATGACCGAGCCACCCAGGCGCCCCTCATTAAAAATGTTTAAAAATTTAGGACGCCTGGGTGGCTCAGTGTCCTGGGATCGAGTCCCACATCGGGCTTCTTGCACGGCGGGAAGCCTGCTTCTCCCTCTGCCTGCCGCTCCCTCTGCTTGTGCTCTCTCTCTCTCTGTCAAATAAAATCTTAAAAAAATTTTTTTTTAATTTGTTACTGAAGTATAATTGACATACAATATCCTATTCGTTTCAGGTGTACATCATAATGTTTTTATACGTTACAAAATAATCTCTACTTATTATCTAGTTATCCATCATTCACCATACAAAGCTGTCACAGTATTACTGACTGTATTCTCTGTGCTGTACATCACATCCTTATGACTTAGTTTATTTTATAATTGGAAGTTTGGACGTCTTAAATGCCCTTCACCTCTGTGACCCACCCCCCACCTGGTAACCAACAGTGTTTCCTGAATCTATGAACCTGGTTTTGTTTGTTGTTTTTTTTAGATTCCACATAATAAGTGAAATTCATCTGTCTTATTTCACTTAGTGTAATGCACTCTAGGCCCAACCATGTAGCGAATGTCAAGATCTTTTTTTTTTTTTTTTATTGCTGAGTAGTATTCCATTATGTATAACAGCACATCTTCTTTATCCATTCATTTATCTGTGGACACTTAAGTGCCTTTTCACTTTCATTTCTCTGTAATTGGTATAAGCCTTTTCATAACTAGATAACAACTAAATTACACATTGTTGGTGGAGTAATTCATAAATTTAACCTCTAAACTTCCTTTATGAAGTTTTGAGCTTTTTGCTTAATTTTTAAGAAAATGTTGGCTAGAATGCTACAGCTTTCCACTTATTAAAAAATCTTGTTGGTAACATTAACTCATCTTTACCCCAATGGGTGAAGGTCTTAACCAGATTGGTTTGGCCCATCTGACTTGCTGATGGAAATGTAGATGGAATAATACCCACATATAGCTGTTCTGTTATCACTTTAAATTGTCAGCATTTATAGATCACAGGTGTCAACTCTGTAGGGCTTAGTCTGATATGAGGTTGCAGACTTTACATGGTGAGCTATTTGCCTGGGGAGCCTTGTATCTGGGTCCTTGTGCTGGGGCCCTGGAGAGTGTGGGAGAAAGAAGCTCAGATGATGGGCTGGGCATCCCAGTTGTTCTTCAGAATCCCCTAAGACATGCTTCTTTTTTTTTTTTAAGATGTATTTATTTTAGAGAGCAGCACTAGTGGGGCAGTGGAGCAGGGGAGGGCAGAGGGAGAGGGAGAAGAGAATCTCCAGCAGACTCCCTGTTGAGTGCGGAGCTCGATGTGGGGCTCCATCCTCTGACCCTGAGATCATGAAGCTGAGCTGAAGTCCGACACTTAACCGAATGAGCCACCCAGGCACCCCAAGACATGCTTTTTCTCATTTGCCTGGGCCTTTTCAGGCAGCAAAATTAATTGCTTCCTCTCTCCCAAAGTTTGTTTCTTCGGCACTCTACCAGGTCTATTTTAGAAGATTGTAAGCTTTTCAAGGGAAGAGATGGTGCCCAAAGTTTTAGTCCTTCTGTCTCCAAAACCTATTATAGGCTTACCTAAGAGCAGCTTAGAAAATGCTTACAAAATTGACGAAAGCAATAGAGTAAAAGGCTGCAAGTCCGTTTTATTTCTATTCTCAGAAATATAGGTAAGCCCTTACCTCATCCTTGTTGGGTTTTGTTTTGGGAGGCAGGACATATAAAGAGGTTCCCTTCTGTGTGGGTATCAAGGAACTAATCAAAATCTCAGCTTCCCAGAAAGTACTTCAGTCTCAAACAGCACACCCCACTTGATTTCAAATAGTTTTGCTAAAAAAACATACTCTTTTAAAATCTGAATCTGGGGTCAGAAATTGGAAGTTTGTGACTTTTTGGATTGTCTCATATAATACTTTTAAAAAAAAATCTCTGGGTAGTTCATCAGTGTCCCATAGTGGTGAGGTTCCTGGGGCTCAGTCATGGGGCAGCTAGATAGTTGCTGGCTGCCTGAGTGCACCCTAGGCAGGAGTAGGATCAGCTTTTACTTCCTAACTGCGTGTGGCAGATTCTTTCCTTGCTTTTTACTCCCAAGAGGTATTTTGCCGTCCTTAAAACTTTTTTCAAGTCAATTTTGTTATACTTCTTTTTTTTTTTTTTTTAAGATTTTTATTTATTTGTGTGAGAGAGAGAATGAGCAAGAGGGAGGGGCAGAGGGCGAGGGAGAAGCAGGGAACCCAATGTGGAGCTCGATCCCAGGACCCTGAGATCATGACCTGAACTGAAGGCAGGTGCTTAGCCAACTGAGCCACCCAGGCGCCCCTATACTTCTCTGTCTTATATGTAGTCATAGTCTTCTGGACTATTAGAGATCAGAACCCTTCACGATGTTGGGTCACAGACCAAGGGAAACTAAGGAGCTTTTGTAATTGATAAGCATGTCCATACACCAGTGTGAAGAACTACATGTGTGTGTTGGGCCAGGGCGTTTCTCTAATCTGTTAATACTGTGAAGGGGTCTTGAACCTCCACAGTATAGGAGTCCTCTGTCCTGGGATGTTCATTTCTGACACTGTCATTGCCCAGTGTCAGCCTCCAGAGAAGAGTCCTCAGGCACAAACCTGGTATCCCTGAAAGCAGCTCTGCCATCAGACTAGTCACACTCACCTAGCTACCTGGAAGAAGCCTGCGGGGAGCCTCTACTTCTAGAGCACTTGCGGATTGTGTGTGTTCCGGCTTCCTTTCAATAAAACGTAAGTTTTCTTAGTAGCCAAGTTTTAGACTATTGATACCACTGAAAATGAAACTCAGTTAACCCTGAGAAGTGAGATCCTTAAAGGGTATGCAGAGTTTTGCCAGTTTTTAAGACTTCTGGATACTTCGATCCTGAGAAGGACTCTTCTGATGTGTGTGCTATGACAGACTTGGGTGGTGTTGAAGGCTGTCCCTTCTCTATTGAAGGCCACCCTGGGAAGCCACTGGAAAGAGTCATGGGGACTTCCCAGCAGTTCTTTTGTCTCTTGCCTAAAGTTTTTGCGTGTAATAGAGGCTGGCAAACATTAAGCAACATGGCTAGGCCACATACCAAACAAACAAACAAACAAAAAACCCCTGATATTGAGCCATGCACCTGAAAGTGTCATAGTTCTGCCTAGAATAGATCCTGAGCTCTAAAATTAAAGTTTAGGTGGGTTTTAAAGCTAGCTAGCAAGTAGAAATGAATCACCTGGCATTGTTGGCATCTTGAGACTGGACAGTGAAGGTAACTTAGGACAGTTTCTTTAGAGTAAGATTTAAGGGGCGTCTGGCTGGCTCAGTCGGTGAAGTGTCCACCTTTGGCTCAGGTCATGATCTCAGGGTCCTGGGATCGAGCCCTTGGTGGGGAGTCTGCTTTTCTCTGCCCCTCCCCATGCTCATTCTCTCTCTCTCTCTGTCTCTCAAATAAATAAATAAAATCTTTAAAAAAAATAAAGTAAGATTTAAAAAAATTATATACTGCAGTTTTGAGGCAGATACATCTCTGGTCTATCCAACTCTTATTTTTTTGGTCTGAGAAAAGAAATGAGCATTGTTCTCTGACAGGTGGTATTTATCACACAGTTGCAGTGTATGATTTTTCTTCGGATTCAAATACAAATATACTGAGCAAACAATCTCAGGGATCTAACAGTCATCCCTAGGCAGCTACTAGCAGCCTTTGTGGCAGACCAGCTTTATCCATTAGCGAGCAGTAATTTACAAAGGGCAGCAGCTCACTCAGGAAGGGTGTGGTTACTAGCACTGTCAGAGGTTAATATTTCCAAGCCATTGTCTTAAGGAGAAAGAGGAGTGATTAACGAGGAAGCTCTCATTATCGGCTCACAGAAAGAATTTGTCAACTTAATTTCTTGGCCCATTATTCCTAAGAACATTTTTATCCAAGAAGGAAAATGGCAGTACGGAAGGTGACTGGATTTGAAATGTGAACGAGAAGGTAGGAAAACAAGCATACTTGCCTTTGAAGAAGTGCTTTTCTGTGCATGATGTCCAATCTTAGCAAGCTCTAAGGTAATGGAAAAGCCACTCCTGTGGTGAAAGGAGATGTGATTTTAAAGCAGCAAGTATTTGGAAGTATTAAAACAAATTCAGCCTGTCAGATGGATGGAGCTACCTTTTCCCCTTTATCCACTAGAAAGAGAAAAAGCCAGAAAAGCTGATTCTGACCCCCCAGGCCAGACTGTTGCCCGGTGCTCAGGATGAGTACATCACATGCCAACACCTTGTGTCAAAGACCATACTTGCAGCAGCCCGAGCTGTGGCAGCTTCTCGGCTGCCGTAGTCTTGGTCTGTTCTATGGGAAATTGGAAAGATGGCTTAGGGGATTTTCTTTTCTTTTGGAGTAATGATGGTTTCTTTTTTTTTTTTAAAGATATTATTTATTTATTTATTTGACAGAGAGATAGCACAAGTAGACAGAGTGGCAGACAGAGGGAGAGGGAGAAGCAGGCTCTCCGCCGAGCAGGGAGCCTGATGTGGGGCTTGATCCCAGGAGCCCGGGACCATGACCCGAGCTGAAGGCAGCTGCTCAACCAACTGAGCCACCCAGGTGCCCCAATGATGGTTTCTTTAGGTGATACTGCATTCTCCCAAAAGGGGAAAGACTTGATATATTTTGCTTTTCCTGAGGAATTTTGCTGTTTCATTCCTCAAAAAGACTGGAGTGACAGGCTTAGCTAGGAAATAGGTCATACCTTGAAAACTCTTATTACTAAAAAGACTCTCAGATTGATTCACTTGCACTGCTAAATGTTAAGGAAATCCATTCAAATACAAGGTGACAGCCAACATGATTTCTTCACACCCAGCTTAAAAGTTGTCTAAAGCTAAGTTTAAATTTACCAAAGGTGCTAGAGAGCACCCAGAAAGAATATATCTGCTTCAGTTCGCCACTATTTGAAGACATGCATTTACAGTTTCTAATAGTGTGAAATCCAGGAATACATAACCTTCACATCTCCTAAATATCCTGAGTCAATGTGAAATCTTGTGAATTACTACCTGGATTCAACTGATTTTAATTTAGAAGAGTGTTGTGTGATTCTGCTTTTAGAACCCTTCACTGAAGAGCATGCCATGAAGAAAGTTATATTTCAGGTGTTTCTGTTATCACTTTAAATTGTCAGCATTTATAGATCACAGGTGTCAAGACAAAAAAATTAGGCTCTAGGTCCCAAATAGATGGTATGTTCAATGTTTTGTTGAATTTTCTGTATGTACTAAAATAATAATTTGAGTCTACTTTCCATCTAGGTAGATAAATATTGTATTACTGCTGTATTTTATTTTGTAAAAGATTTTATTTATTTGAGAGAGCGAGAGAGAGCACACAAGCCGGGGGAGAGGCAGAGGGAGAGGAAGAAGCAGACTCCCCACTGAGCAGGGAGCCCGATGTAGGACTCAGTCCTGGGACTCCAGCACCATGACCTTAGTGGAAGGCAGAAACTTAATTGACTGAGCCACCCAGGCACCCTTCATGCTGTATTTTAATTTATAAATTAGATTTGCTGGACTACATAGCTAAATAACCTTTTCTTTTTTTTTCCCCAGCATCAAAGCTGAGGCAGAAGATTCATCACATTTTCCAGCATCAGCTACAGGCTTAGGAAGGAGGCTGGGATGAATGTGACATGGACCACAGCAGCTCTCTTAAGATTCCTGGTATTTCCAACATGTAGGAAAGAGGCAGTTGGAATGACAATCTTGTCTAGTTTGGAGTTTTAAAAGGTCTCATTCTTCCAGTAGCTATCATTGTAAAAGTGTGCATGGATATTTATGTATTTATAAATCATGCCCTCTTTTTTTTATTTTCACTTTTTGAATGTCAAACTTTTTGTTAAAAATGCCTATTTTTTTTTTTTATGTTGTTGTAATAATTGCCGGTAGTGAATTTTACAATTTGGATTTTTCAATAATGTATTTTCAAGTCTGATTCTGTTTTATGGTCTTTTCCCCTCCCCGCACTGAGGCAAACCAGCCTTATTTCTTTTTTTTTAAGATTTTATTTATTTGAGAGAAAGAGAGCATGAGAAGGGGGGAGGGGCAGAGGGCGAGGGATAAGCAGACTCCCTGCTAAGCAGGGAGCCCGACTCAGGGCTCGATCCCAGGACCTTGAGATCATGACTCGAGCCGAAGGCATACACTTCACCGACTGAGCCACCTAGGCGCCCTTATTTCCTTATTTCTTTCTGAAGTTTATGCCGTCTTTATGGCCACTGCCACACACACTCATCTTTTTTTAAGAGATGAGTGAGAATCAAATCATAGGCCTCAGGTACCTACCAGCTCATGGGAAGAGGCGGCTTGTGAAAGGGCATCTGGCCTTATTTTAAAATGGACACCAGATGCCACAGCTTGATCCAGGCAGCCTAGTTGATTTATAGATTTTCTAGAAGGTCTCCTAGATAGCTGAGTAAAGCCCACATTCTCTTTTTCTGCAGGGATCCTGAGGGTTTTGGTCTTCTAGACTTAAGGATTGCTTTGCCCATAGCCCCTGAAGAAATATTTGTGTAATGCAATGCTGTTTTGCTCTGAAATTCTGTTTTCCCCACTTAGTTAATATATCTGTTCTTTATCCCCTCCCTCTTCCACTCATTCATTTTAAAATTTTTTTAAAGATTTTATTTATGTATTTGACAGAGAGACAGCGAGAGAGGGAACACAAGCAGGGGGAGTGGGAGAGGGAGAAGCAGGCTTCCCGCAGAGCAGGGAGTCCGATGCGGGGCTCGATCCCAGGACCCTGGGACCATGACCTGAGCCGAAGGCAGACACCTAACGACTGAGCCACCCAGTCGCCCCATAAAATTTTTTTTTTTTAAAGATTTTTTTTATTTGTTAGAGCACAAGCAGGAGGAGCTGCAGGCAGAGGGAGAAGCAGGCTCCCTGCTGAGCGAGGAGCCCGATATGGGACTTGATCCCAGGACCCTGGAATCATGACCTGAGCCGAAGGCAGATGCTTCACCGACTGAACCACCCAGGCGCCCCTAAGATTTTATTTTTAAGTAATCTCTTCATCCAACTTGGGGCTCCAACTTACGACATTGAGATCAAGAGTTGCATGCACTACCAACTGAGCCAGCCAGGAGCCCTCTATTTCTTATTTAGTACCCACCATTAAGAACTTACCTCCAGGCATAAATATTGAGAGAGGGACTTCATTTGGGGTCAGCAATATAACAGTCACAGCAGAATTCACTCATCACTGGGCTTGGTATTTGGGGTAATGGTGAATAAGGCAGTGGACCCTGTCTTAGCTGAACCTACCAGTAAACCCAGGTAATTAAAAAAACCAGGAATGCTGAAGAGGAGAGCTGGCTGTGGGAGCATGATGCTGGGAACAGACAAGTGGGATGACTCTCACCCACTGCTCAAGCCTAAGGACAAGCATCACACCTTGGATGAGCACATCTCTGTGCAGCTTCTGGCTCTAATCTGTAGCAATCACTAGGGTGGACCACGTGAGGTCAAGATCTCTGATATAATTGGGCAAACCATTTCTCTCCCTAGCCTTACCTGGGAAATGGAGGTCATAGAAATACCTAGCACAAAGAGCTGTGGCAAAGACGAAGATGTTGCAGGGGTAAGCTAGTGCTCAGTGAGCCTTAGCCTCTTCCTCACATGTGGCCTAGCCTCTTTCTATTCTGGTTACCTATACAAATTTGTGAGGCTTAAAAACCAAATTTACAAATTGGGAAATATCAGAGTGGGGATGTTCACTTCTAAAATGCATCTTTCACAGGTTTCTCATCACAGATCCTATTTTCTCTGTAAGATATAATGCCCTTTTAAAATAATAACATCCTGTCAGGAACGTAAATCCATTTCAGAAAGCAAGCTTAAATTGTGCACTGATTGCATGTTCCCCTCCCCCATTCTTCTTCACTCTATTTTTGAAGACTTCTCTAGTTAGTCAAAAGCAAATTTTCTGATAACCATTTTCTAATGGGTTTTCTTATCATTTCCTCAGCTTAAACTGTCTCTGTTTTTCTTCTCATCTTTAAAACCTTTGTAGCTATCTGATCTGTAAAATTAAGCGGTATTTTAGAATTTCATCCTTTGTTTTTCTGGGATAGAAAGTGGCACAGAAATCTAAATTTTTGCATTGCAGCAGTCCTTGTAGTGTAGGCAGAATGGCCCACTCTTAATGGTGAAACTGCAGCTCACTCCAAGATACTGGCCTTGGTATATGCAGTGCTGTCCAACACGGGGTAAGGATCAAATGAGATCATAGGAAGGGACATGGTACACTGTTACCTTCAAATAACAACTAGAGAGCATCTTTTCTGTTAAAGACTTAAGTCTCAAGACCTTGTGAGAAGCAAGTACTAACAGTACAGGTTAGGGTGCTCAATTAACCGTGATACCCTTTTATATTACCCAGAAAATTGATTTTTACAATATTCATTAGAGTCTATAGCCCACCTGATGAATCGTCTACCATTGCAGAGGCAAGGAATTTCCAGGATCCATGTGGACCTGAGGGCTTACCTATTCCATGGGCACTGGGAGGATTCATTATCACTGCCCATCCTCTGAGGCTTTGCTATTTGTAGTAAACGGCACTGAAAATACACATTGTCGCATCTGAAATGAGATTTATATTCTTTTTTTTTTTAAGATTTTATTTATTTATTTGACAGAGAGACACAGTGAGAGAGGGAACACAAGCAAGGGGAGTGGGAAAGGGAGAAGCAGGCTTCTCGCCGAGCAGGGAGCCCGATGAGGGGCTCGATCCCAGGACCTGGAATCATGACCCGAGCCGAAGGCAGATGCCCAACGACTGAGCCACCCAGGAGCCCCGAGATTTATATTATTCTAAATGTCAGGTAACTCAGTGTTTCTCTGCTGCTCAGCACTAAAGTCTCTGCTGGGTCCCCTTTTGTCTGGAAAGAGACTCAACTTCTGGAGTCTGAGGACTGTAGTCTAGGTATCATGTCATCTAGTCATGGCTCTCATCCTTGACTAGTTAAGAGACACCTTTTGGTTCTGTAGGAAGTAAGACTAAACACAAATCTTAAGAGGCAAGAGTTTTAGAACTTAAACAGATTGTAGTCATGGAAATTGCTTCCTTTAACGAATGCTGAATGCACACTAAAAAAAAAAAATCTGCCCTCATGGAGATTATATATATATATTTATATATATAAAAAATAAATAAAAGATATGTATTACATATATAATATACATATTATATATAAAAAGTTTTTCTTTTTTAAAGATTTTATTCATTATTTATTTGACAGAGAGAGACAGGCAGAGAGGGAACACAAGCAGGGGGAGTGAGAGAGGGAGAAGCAGGCTTCCTGCAGAGCGGAGAGCCCGATGCGGGGCTCGATCCCAGGACCCTGGGACCTGACCTGAGCCGAAGGCAGACGCTTAACGACTGAGCCACCCAGGCGCCCCTATATATAAAAAGTTTTATACACACACACACACACACACACACACACACACACACACACACTCCTTGGGGAAGAAGAATCTCTCTGGGCTTGGTTTTCATTAAAATAAAGAGCAAGCAAGTGAAAGAGGCTATTTATTCATTAAGTGAAAAGCAAGCCAGATGAGGTTCTGTTTCTTCCCTGAAGTTTACTCTAGTCCTTCCAAGTTAGGACTCTCAGGTCTAGGGGTGGCAGTGTGTTGGCTGCCTTTCTCATTTTGGTTTAGTTTTTCTCACAATGCCAAGCATTAGGGGCAGAGTCCTTTGCATATGTGCTTTTGTCAGGGAGGGAGGTGGGCCTGAAGCTTTGCCCACAGACAAGAGAACCAGCTGAGGAGGTGGGGGTAACAAGAATACATCACCTGAACAGATTCCCTTGGGAATCAAAAAAAGAAAAGTAAAAATTGAGACTATTAAGTTCCCATTAGACAGAGCTATAATTCTTAGCATATCCTAGGCATGGACATGTGAACCAGAACTTTTTTCCTTGACAGTGCTCTCAGGCAAGGAGGGCTCTTTAGACATAACCCAGGTGGTCCCAGCCCAAGTCCCATCCTTCTTTCCCAGCCTAGGAAGAGTAGGCAGATGACCCCAAAATAGCCTTGATTATGGTCTTCCAACCTATTTGCCTGGGAGACATGCTGTTAGGGCATCTTGAGGCAGGTCTTGGTCTTCCCCTGGTTTAGTGAAAGGGTGATTAACAGTAAGGAGGTCGGGGCGCCTGGGTGGCTCAGTTGGTTAAGCGACTGCCTTCGGCTCAGGTCATGATCCCGGAGTCCTGGGATCGAGTCCCACATCGGGCTCCCGGCTCAGCGGGGAGCCTGCTTCTCCCTCAGACCCTCTCCCCTCTCATGCTGTTTCTCTCTCTCTTTCTCTCAAATAAATAAATAAATAAAATCTTTAAAAAAAAAAAAATAGTAAGGAGGTCAAGCTTGAACTGTTCGGGCCTGCTGACTAAAAGCCCTTGCTTTGCTGTGGATCCTAGCACCAAAATCTCACTGCTGGGGCTGCATTTTCCTGTCTCTTTGATATCTTCTCATATTAAGAATATTTAACTGAACCTAGATGTAAACTGGTAGATAATTCCTTCCTCCTGATTTACTTCACATCAGTGTAGGGATCTTCAAAGTGGGGGATGATTCTTACTTTGATCTTTATTGGAGGCTTCAGTGGAAAAATTTCTTTAAGTACCTGGCACTTCGTGAGCTTTCCCTGCTTCATTCCTACCCTACTCTCCCTTTGAGGCCAAGCTGGGAAAACAAAATGTTTCAACTAACTTACACAAAAGAAAAATGAGCACCCAGAGTGACCCCCACAAGACCAGGCTCCATCCCCAGAGCTGCAGAAGGGCAGACCAAATCAGTTCCAGTTGCAGAGTAGGGCCAAACATGTGAGTTGGCACCCATTAAGTACTCAGTAGCTATGCTGACAAAATGAATGGCAGCAGGCACTGAACGATGCAGCCTTAATCAAATGCCTGGCGGTCCCAGAGAGAAAGGTAGAAGCAAAACCTCCAGGCGTGCCTGGGTAGCTCAGTCAGTTTAGTCTGCCTTTGGCTTGGGTCATGATCTCAGGGGCCTGGGATCGAGTCCCGTGTCGGGCTCCCTGCTCAGTGGGGAGCCTGATTCTCCTTCTCCCTCTGCTGCTCCCCCGCTTGTGCTTTCTCATTCTCTCTCTCTCAAAAAAAATAAAATCTAAAAAATAAAAAGAAAAACAAAACCTCCAGGATGGGGATTGGGGGTCAGCAGGTGGCCAGAGCTTATAAGTCCACTGGAGTCCTCCACTAACACTAGGTGCCTTGGAACTCCTGTACTCCTGCATCTAGGGTCTGGGGCTTGTGAAGGCTGTGGATGTGCTCCCCTCTCCATGAACATGGCCTTTGCCCTAGCACTGGCATGGCAGGCTTGCCTGAGTCTCACCTTGTAAACCGTTGAGACTTTATCACTCTGTGAATTGTGGACCCCAGCTGACTGGGAACTCTTGGACTTGGTCCATCACCTACAGTCCCACTTCCCCTTAAACCACTTGTTTTCAGCTTCTCAGGTGGTGAGACAATGACTCATGCTTCCTTCTACCTTTGTGTTTACCAAATTATTTTTTATGACTACATTCTACTTTTATAAAAACCAGAAACCTGCTAATCAGTGTCTCCAGAGGATTTGGAGCTTGGACCCTGGAGGTCCTCTGCTGTCCTACTGGCCTCCTGTCCAGGCCTGTGCATGTACTGCCAGAGGCTGTCTGGAAAGGAGGTTTCCTAGTATTTGGATTTACATTCCAGTCTTTGGAACTGTATTTGTATTGTTGCTCTTCCAGCCTGATCCGTCAGACTTGGTCTTGAGAAGGTGCCATGGGGATTGTGCTGTTCTCAAGCTGCTCAGTGCAAAATAATATGCAGCCCATCAAAGAACCAATGTGTAAGGGCTAACAAAAGCCAGGGTGGGGAACTTTCTCCCTGAACAGACGGGTTCATCAGCCTCACCACCATCAGGCCCCAGTAACTGCCCTCACTGATCTTGTTGGCTTGCAAAAGATCCCTTGTGCCCAACCCTGGGATTGACATCGTCTTCATTCTAAAGGCAGCCTTTCAACTCTTCTGGTAAGTCTTGACCTGAAACCACAGCCTTACATGCTCATGCAGGTACAGGTCTATAACCACAGCCTGCTAAAACACAGCAGGGATTACAATCCAGCTTTTCTTTGGAGGTGATACTCCAAGCTTTTGGCCGAAGCTGATATGGACTAGAATCTCTGATTTCTTTTCCTATGCTCTGCCCAGGATGTTATCAGGACAAGAAGCTTCCAGTTCCTTGTGGTCTTTGTACTCACACCACCACAGTAACATAAAATCTCCCAACTCAGTTTTGTAAAATGACTATACAGAGGCCAAATTGCTGCAAACCTCTCTTTGACATTCTCTTATTCAGGAGTGCAGCCGGTCCAATTCAGTGGTGGGCTGTGCTATTCTTGGCAGAATGCTTTGTTTGTAAAGGGGGAAGGGAAAGGGCAATTTACACCTCGGGCTTCAGACAGGAAGCAGCATAAAGAGGTCTGCCTTAAGTGCTCTTAATGTTTGCATTTTGGCAGCCTTCAAGACACCACAGAACCCCTCCGCATTCCAGGAATAATGACAACTAAATGGTACAGGTTGATGGAGCCAGAGATCCTTTTATAGATAGGCTCTGATCCCCTCCAGACCAAGTACCCAACCCAGTGGCTTTAAGGATCCCAGTCTTCCAGGTAGGGGTTTAGAAAGCTCCCCCCAAAAGACTACAGAAGCATCATACTTGTAAACCAAGACTGTCACCATATAAAGACCTCTAACCAGCTAAAAGGTTATTTGCTGTCAGCAGAATACACTCTCTAGTCTTCTCATACGTATTATTCTATGAGTGACTGATAAACAAAAGCATCATGTGGCCAAGCTTTACCACTCAAGTCAATGGCAGTTCCTGAAAGTCAGTCCATGCAGGCTTTTCACCCAAGGCTGAAACCTCCATATGCCAAAGAGGAAGCCTGGAGCCCTTCCTTCCAGGGTTCTTGATTTCAACCAGCAAGGAGCTAATGTTGCTGAGCTTGTGATGAGTTGTTTACTAAAAAGGTTTGCAAAAGGCACAGCTCATTTGTCTTTCTAGCCCAACTGAAAAAAAAAAAAGCCCTAGCCCATGCTATGAATAGGAAATGTAAAAACCTCAAGACGTTATTAACAAAATTGTTTTAAACCAATGCAGCTGGGCTGGGGTGAGGTGGAGAAATTACTGAAAGAGGAATGGCACACACATTTGTATATTCTTTTTCAAAGGACAGAAAACAACAACAATAAGACTTTCTCTTTCCTCCATGTCATATACTTGAATAACTAAAGAAAACTAATCTTTATTCCTATCTGACAGCAGTTGTTTTTTCCTAACTAGATGGGAACTGAAGTAACAGAGCTACCATCTTGGCACAAGGCCCTTGCCCTATGGACAATTTCATTTACCTTTAATAGCTTTGCAACTACTGACTTTTCTATTTACATAATAATCCCCACATAACTGAGATTCCTCTGGGACTCTGCATTATGAAATGCAATAGAAAGGAATTGTAATAAATACCACCAAGACCTAAAAAGTTGATCCCTATCTCTTAAAACTTGGGAGAACTGAGAGCTCAAAATACCTCAGACATAACTCTTAAATTGTATTATATGAGCCCTAGGGTTCTTTCTTCAGAGTACTAAATGAATCAATTAAGTAGACAGGTACTTTGTTTACTAAGCACAAAATACGGTTACTAAATAAGGCACCTTTAATAGATTTCTTTTTCACTATCTTCTACCTACCTACAGGAGTAAGAATTTTTAGATCAGTTTCAGAAGTTATTCACGGAACTTTTACTGGGGTGTGTGGGGGTACTGACTCAAGAATATTTCCATGAAGGGAAAAAAATTTGGTCTATTGATAAGTCATAGGTCATAGTCCTTTATATCGGAGACTAGAAGGTGTTCCTATAACCAAAAAAAATAGAAGTAGAAAATGGTGGTCAAGAAAACTTCTTCACTCGATAGATACGAGTCTGTGCCCAAGTCTAAATCAACTCAAGTATTTTTAAAAATGAGAGGGATGTATTTAAGTCTAATAGGTTTTCTAAAACTGAACTCAATACCTTATTATTTCTTGAGGGATAGTCTACTTCTTGGCTAAAAGACCAGGTTGCCCAGGTACAAATCCCAGCTCTATCACCTGCTAGCTTGCTGATCTTCAACAAATCACTCACTTAATCTCTCTGTATCTAGATTCCTCATCTGTAATATAATGGTACCTACCTCACAGGATTACTGTATGAAATGTGATCATAAATGTTAAAGTGCTTCAAATAGTGCCACGCACATTGAGTATTCTACGTCAGAAGTACTGTTACAGAGGAAGTGCATCACAAATGCATTTAAACTTTAGCACGAATCCAACTTCATACTGAAATAAATGACTTAGTTCTAGCCTCTTGCTATACCATACACATTTATAAAATTTACCTAGTGTAAAAGTAAACATTTTTGTATGGTATAACCTTGTAAATTGAAGGTTTACATCTAGTACTCAACCAAAGAAATAGGAATCTGTTCCAAGGCTGAAGAAAAAAAACGGAGGAGTAATTGGGAGAGGAATATTCCTAAGAATTTTCTCCAATGGGAATGTGGACGAGATATGAGTTTTATGCATGTGTTGAACTTAGGACTTTGAGCTCAGAGACTCCCTGCAAAGTGAGATGTGACCCCCTTATAATTATCAACTTGAAATATACAGATTAAGATAAAAATAGATTTTGAAGCAGTAACCAAATAGCATTTAATGAAGTAAGAGGGGAGACTCTTACTGTTATATTTAAGAGTCAGTCACTGGAGTAAATGTCTACAGAAGCTACACTTTGTCTCAGAGCTGAATATGAAAGCATCACATTTACTACAACCAAAAAGTACCCATAAGCATCTTTTTGGCCATTAATTCCAGTGAGTGGACTCTTATTTGTATAAAAAGCTTCCTAAGATCATACACTTACCCCAAAATTTGCCAAGTAATAACTTAAAGGGAAACATCAGCACTTATCCTTCCAGTGTTAAACTTGGCTTAAAAAATAGAAGCTGCAGACACTGCGATCCTAGTCTTCCAACAGAAACTGTCAGCTTACTAAGCTAGTAAGAATAGGACAAGAAACTATTGGGGTTACTCAAATAGCTGTTTTAACTACTAGAAAGACTACACAGGTGTTTCAACAGAATTTACTTGTATATTTTCCATTTTCTGTACTATTTGAAGGCATAGGATAGCTTTGTATTAGCTTTCTACAATACTGTGTTTTAAATTTATCCAGTAAACTAAGATGCAGTACAACTTTTATACAACTTAGGAGATTAAAAAAAAAAAAATCTCCACAAGAGAAAGCAACTCAGCAGGCCCTGGTATTAAAACATTTTTCCAGAATAAACAGATACGCAATTGCATTAAAAGGCAGTTTTCAAATATTTTAAGTTACACCAAGATCCCTTCCAAATATCTGCCTTGCTAAACCAATGCAACCAACTCTTACTCAGTGTTAATAGTGGGGCATGGATTTTGGTAAATGTTTACGGTTTTACTTTCTTCATTATCAAAAATCTTTTAAAGTGCTATCAAGCAGCAAATAAGTTGCATTAGCTCTCTGCTCCCAGTAGAGGTGCCAATTCCTCATGGTAGAGGTACAAACTGTGAAATTGCAAAAGGTACAGTTTAACAGTAAGTAGTGCATGAAGAAACAGTAACAAGTGGCCTAAATACAGAGTTGGACAGAATCAAACCAGTTAGGTCTATAATTGCTCAAGTGAAATGGATTTAGTTTCATTCAAACATTTAAAATAAAGTCGGAAATTATAATTGGTGGTTAGAATCAAATTTGAAGAATTTCTTGATAAAATATAAATCTGTTCTTTTGAAACTGGAAATAAACTATCAATTGATGGAGAGCTAGAGACTTATTAACCCCTCCTACACAGATAAGGAAATAAGTGACAAAGTCTCTTGCACTGAAGTTATGTATTTTAACAGCTTTACATGTAATATTCATATATAAAAAACTTTAAGTGCTTTTCTCCAATTTAAAAATCTAAAGAATTCAAAAATAAGGCATTCAATATTTGAAAAAAGTACAGATTTACAAAATGTGTATTATTCTGTCATGAAAACTCCACACCAACATTATACACTTGGAAAAAAATACAAACAGGATATATTACAAATTTATGTAAGCAATAACTTAGTTCACACCATGCAATAAAAAGTACATTAATCAAGATACACAAGCTTTTGTAGGTTCTAAACTGAAGGACTTTTTTTTTTCTCTGCAGAATCCTTAAAACCTGTGGCACTTAAAATTTGTTAGCCTTTCTACTGAGAGGTAAATTATACACAACAATGATGAAAAAATTAACAGACCAGTTGTCTATTATGAATCATTCCAGCTTTGTTCAACAATGGCCGAAACTCTTTTCTCATATTCTCGTTTGTTTTCCTGATAAAGCTGTGCTGCTTGGCTATTGGCTGGACTGTTTGGATTCGGTTCATCCAGCAGAGACTGGAAGGAAAGAGAAAAGAAAAAAGGATTTGTAGAGTTACTCTTTACATTAACATGGGTCTAGATATGGAACAGAGAGACTGTACAAAAGAACAAATTACTCAGTAAAGAAATGGCAGATATTAGTATATAACTTCTATATTTTTAGGTCTTAAATACTTTCAGAAATGGCTTGATGAATTTAATAATTTCCTGCTGCTAGAGAACTGAAGCTTCTAAAACACAGAGTACTCAACTGCCTTAAGACCTCTAATTTCAAAGAAATTGGGAAAGAATATTCTTCAACATACTGAAACATTGGCCAAGAAATAAACAGCTCGATTTGGTTAAATATACAATACCTAGAAATAGCATTTTCCAAAGTTAAACTCTATTTTGTGGTTTGCAAATGTCTGACATAAGTTGGGTAGTGAGTCTTGTTTCCTTCTATCAAGAAAACATATACATCCAGCAGCAAGGGAATAAAATAGGGAAGTTGAAAACAATGTTTATAAAATGACCTGAATTAAAGAAGAAATGTGATAGGAAAGGCTTAAAAAGAAGGTCACAAACCCAAATTTTACTTCTGCTCCTCATAAACTAAACATCCACATAAACTAAAACATCCCTCACTCCACCTCTCTCCAAAACTGTCATTCAAGGTCAACTCTGAAATAATCTGCCACAGTGTTTTGGCAAATGGTTACACTACCTTTTTTTAAAATAGGATTTCTTGGATAGGGTAACATACTTAATGGTTCTCTGCACTTGGCAGTTTCCTGAGGTCCCTATGGTTTTTCTAAGCAATCATCTTTCTATTTCCAAGAAGCATTTTCCTTTTCTACATCCTCTGGTTATGCTTCATGGGAATAAATAATACCTGACCTGTGAGAACACTTTGTTTACACAAGGATCAGGAAACTGTGTGTTTGATCCAATGTGGTCACTAACAAAAAAGCAGACCAGTTGTCTGAAAACCACAGGATTTTATCCAGGCTGTGCCATTGGTTACCTGCTACTGCTCCTAAAGGAGCTGACTGTATCCCATAGAATCTTGAAAAATCATGATGCAACCTAACACACACTTACCTGAATTGATGTTAAAATAGAAGATACATCATATGTTGGACTCCATCGATTCTGAAGGATATCTAAACATATGCTACCATCAGCATACACTGCAAAGACAACACTAAAATTGGTTACCTATTAACTTCATCATATTTAACAGTTAAAAGAGAAATCTTTACCACAAACAGAACGCTTGGCCCAGTCAGAAGTTCTGAACATTAATTACCAAACCCTCTTGTCTCACAGGAAAACCAGTGTTAAAACTAAGGTCTCTTATTTTGCACCTTTTCATCAGGAAGCTTTGTCAGAGCTAAATTTTTTCAACACCCATCTTTATACCCAATCTGTTTAAAGCATCTATTTCTAAACTCCTTAAATAAAGCTCTTGAAAAAAAAATACTTTTTTTGACATCGTAATTACTCTCCCAGAAATTATTCCTACAAGAAATAAATGTGGACACATGAAGTTTTATTTATAGGAAGTTCACTATAATACTGTTTATAAGCGTGTAAAATTAGACCTTGTGGTCCATAAAGAGATGACTGGCTAAATTAACAGTATATTCATATAACCAATACCAATGTAGCCAAGGGAGAAACGATACACATCTACCCTCTGTTAACTGATAAAGATCCATAATGTCTTAATAAGTTTTCAATTTTTAGAGGATAGTATTTTTTTACAAAATATTTAACTATTTTCATTTGAAGTATAACTATTTTCATTTGAAGTATGTGTAGTTACAAAAACATTTGTAAGATTAAATGCCAAAATATAAGTACTGGCTCTCTGTAAGTAATAGGATTCTTGTATTTTATGATTTTTTAAAAATTTTTTATTGTATGTTAATCACCATACATTACATCATTAGTTTTTGATGTAGTGTTCCATGATTCTTACGACTTGTTTTTAATGAGTATGCTTTCCTTTCATAATAAAAAAATAAAATAAAAATCCAATGATTAATATGTTTTAAGTCTTTAACATTTGGGAAGTCTTCTTTCCTCTTGAACTGATTATGTGAAAATACAATGAACATTAAATTTTTACCCACTTGTGAGACTCTGTCTACATGACAAATTTCCAGAAGTAGAACTGCTGTGTTGACAAAGGATAAATGCATTTAAATGTAATAGACACTGTTAAACTTTGGAAAGCTTCATGGAGCAAGCCAATCACCCTACATAAAGACAGGAATAAGTAAGGCTTTTGGGGGGAGAGGAGGCAAATTATACTTAAATACTGTCGTTTCTCAGGGCTCTCTCTATCCTCCATTCTCTTCCTTCTGGCCCTGTATACAGCCTCTGGGTGATGTTATTCACTCTCATGGCCTCAATGACCATCCATATGTGCTAGCTACTTCCACTTACTGGCTTTAGACCAGATTTAACTCTCCGCTTTAAAGCAGCCTAGTCAACGGCTTACTATCTATCCCACAGGAACATCAAACTTGGCAAGTCTAAAGAACAATTATCACCTCTGTAAAACCCATAAAAGTACAAAATGATTTTTAAGTTTTGAACTAGTAACTATTTCTAAGAAGTAATCCAAAAGTAAACTAGAAATCAAGCATCCATCAACTGGTGATAAAAAAAAATAATGTATATTCATATAATGAAATTTCATTCAGCCATAAAAGGAAATAGATTACAGTTACAACATGGATGAACCCTGAAAACTATGCTAGCTGAAAGAAGTCAGTCACAAAAGCCAACATGCATTATAGGATTTCATTTATATGAAATGTCCAGAACAGGCAAATCTACAGAGGTAAGAAAATACGACTGCCTAGGGCTAGGGTGCTGGGAGAAAAGGGAGTGACTGCCAACTGTCATGGGATTTTTTGGGGAGAGATAAAAATATTCTAAAATTGATATGGTGATGGTTGCACAACTCAGTATACTAAGAACCCCTGAACTGTGTAATTTAAATGAATGAACAGCACAGTATGTGAATAGTATTTCAAATAAAAATGTTTAAAAAGTAGACCAGAAAGTTAATAAAAAAGTACTGGTAAAAGAAAAAAGGGTAACCACTGTTATTAATATGAAGGAATGAGAAATAACCTAATACACTGTTTCCCCAACGATGAAAATACTATACCTACAAACATAGAACCCCCTGCACATTGTACAGTCTTTTCCACCTTCCTTCATTTACAGATCCTTCTTACTACATTGTGGGTCAATTCAATAACAAGTCTAAGTCAGATTAAACTAAAGTGGAATAAATATTAAGTGACTCCTTCTGCAAGTAAGTTAACTGATGGGGAAGACCATATTTAAATGAGCAAAGGTTACAAAAAGGAAAGCTTAAATATTTTGGAAAATAAGTCTTTCGTACAGTAATGTATTATCCAGGAATATACAATGTGTATTAGAAGTAAACAGGAAGTCATAGAAGAGCAAATTTAATTACAAAAGTCACTCAGAAACCATTTATGGAAAATAGGAATAAAATAAATTTCTCCAGGGGCGACTGGGTGGCTCAGTCAGTTAAGCATCTGCCTTCCGCTAAGGTTATGATCCGAGTCCTGGGATTGAGACCTGAATCGGGCTCCCTGCTCCTCGGGGAGCCTGCCCCTCCTTCTCCCTGCCACTCCCCCTGCTTGTGTTCTCTCCTTGTGTCAAAAAATAAATAAAATCTTTAATAAGTAAATAAATTTCTCCAAATGAAAGAAAGAACGAGAGAAAAAATGGAAAACTGTACTTAAAAAAGCCTTAAAAACATATGAACCTTTGACCCAGTAATCCCACTTCTAAAAACTTATGGTAATATTCATGGGTATTTGGGAAGATTTTCAAGAATGTTCAAAGTGCTGTTTAAAATTACAAACAGGGGGGCGCCTGGGTGGCTCAGTTGGTTAAGCGACTGCCTTCGGCTCAGGTCATGATCTTGGAGTCCCTGGATCGAGTCCCGCATCGGGCTCCCTGCTCGGCAGGGAGTCTGCTTTGCCCTCTGACCCTATCCCCTCTCATGTGTTCTC